TTTCCCAATTTCGCTCACGTCTCAAGTGGTTACCTATCCGACTTCGCCGGAATATGCATATTCTTTCTATTCTGTACTGTGTATTATTTCACCCTTCTACACCTCCTTATCTAAAGGAGAAGTTTAGTTTTGTAGGGCTTCCAGGAGAACCTCTACGTTCTTCAAGAAAATTCATTTTAAGGGTTCCAACTCACAATACTTCCTTTTTTAATAAATCTTTTACTGTCCAATCTATCAAGCTCTGGAATGCCCTACCGTTGCGTATACGTGAAGCACAAACGATTGTTATATTTAAGCGACTACTTAAAGAGCATTACTTGTCTCAGTCGTTTTAACACCGTTAGAATAAATTAAGTGATTATGTATCTATTGTATTTATCTGCTTTATATTATTGTTTGAGGAATTTTTTTATGTATATGTATATATATATATATCTATATTTGAGTAAATGTGTAAGTTTGTTTATATATTTATATATATGTATGTATATTTATATTTATATATGTTTTACTTTATTTTTATTATATTTTAGCAATTTATATAATTTCATGTATTAGTTATTTGTATGTTATTTTATTGCATGTATTGTCTATAAATCGCTATTATATTATGTATATTTATATTGCACCACCTACCTAGTTCTCACTGTTCTAATCCTTACACCTTTGGTTGCCTGGAAGAGATCGCTATGTAGCGATAAGGCCGCCAAATTGTACTTACATAATATTATAATCTTTTTTGTGTTTTGTTAACTGTATATTTGTTTGTGGTGTACAATAAAAGTATATTCGTTCATTCATTCAAGAATATACACTTGGTATGCGTCACGATTTTCGCTTGAAAGTAACAAAATACCGAATATTTTATATCCACAGTGTTGAGGGGATCATGACGTCAGCAATTACCTACCCCATTTCGTCGCACGGGTGTCGTAAGAGGCGGCACAGGAGAACAAACAAGTAGACGGTCAGCAACGTCTTCTTAATATCATTATTTGTAATGGGTCGGCTCGACCGGGGAAGGACCACGCTCTCACAGAATACCAGCGTGAAATAGTGGCTTAATGCTGCTGTCTTTCGTATGGTGAGTGTAGAGAACCGGAGACCCTTTTTACTGGAAATGAGGCATACCATCTTAGTCCTCACGTGTGACAACGCATCTGCATTTTGATTCGTGATCGATGATAGATATAGATGTCTATGGACCACAGCAACCACTTACCACCAGGCGGACTGTGTGCTCGTTTGTCACCCTGTCCTATAAAAAAAATCAACAAAAAAATAAAACGACACTGCGGTTGCCAACCAAAGCATAGCAAACTATGGCAACACTCCCTGTATATGACAATCTATGGGTAGGCCTATGTTCACAGTTGACTAACGATGGGCTGTGGCAGTAACAGTAATAAAAAAATAACGTTCAAATTACATATAGCCTATACTTTATCCAATTCAGTGAGTCAACGCAAGTATATTTTAATACCGTATTTACTCACGCTCGGTTCTCCAGTAATAGTGCAATTCGGTTTTATGATCATACTAATTGGTAATACAAAATGAACAAGGAAATATGACGACAGCATTTAAATTGGCAAACCTTGCAGAGAGACTGCAATTATATTGAAATTGCAGCGATAAAAAAGCTTTGAAAAATTTGGAATGGATAGTAAAAGATCAAAACGAGACAAGACTATCTATTTTAATTTTTAGCTACCTTCTTTAAACTTTAGTGCGTAAATGTAGGATAGGTGTAGGTTAGGTTAGGGAACAGAATCCACTTACCACCAGGTAGAATGTGTGATCATTTGTTACTCTTATTTGCACAAAAAGGATATGATTTAGAATTCATAAATTTTCGATTGTTATATTTGCTAAAATAAATACTGTTAGAATACAGGATTTAAGTAAATTCTTGTAATAAAGAATAAAGATATCTTAGTTATCTCCTCTCTTCCTTAGGGGTTATGTTTGAAGGCAAAAGCAGATCTCCCTATGAAGTTTTATATAATAATACCTTTCGTAACGATAATTTTTACGTTATTACTCTTTGTACTGTAAACGTCAAGAAACTAAAAATACATTCGAACACTAAAACTAGTAACATGTATATATACACTACACTACATATACACTAGCTACGGGCGAAATTTAAAAACCAAGTCGAACTCTCAGCACAGAGTACGGATATTTACTCGTGTGCTCTCAGCATGCAAGTACTCGTATCACTACTAAAATTAACACAACATTGTATGTGATGTCGTGAAGTGTTAGTGAATCTGTAATGTATTTGTTACATTCAATATATTATTGGCAGAGTTGCACCATAAACCGTCACATGCAATAACTTGCACAATGCTCGCAAACGCCTAGTGTAATTTAAATGCGACATTGTAGGTAAAAATTCAAGGTGTCCATTCCGTATGGACGTTAAAGAGTAATTCTTTTCGCAGATAATCAATTTTCTGTTTCATAGAAACGAGCAAAAGCGTATGTTATTTCGTTTGTAAGCATCACTTTTGTTGGCAAGACAAAGCCTTGTTGTAATATAGCATTGCAACTCTCAGTGGGGACACTCAAAAGGGAAATTTTAACTTTGCTATGCGCTTCGCAGTTAAAACGATGGTAAAACTTTATTACTAACGGCACAAGTAAGGAGTTAGTAAGAGGTTATTGTTAGTAAGCCGGTGTCAACAAAAGACGATGTTGAGTTGACATAAACGAGATGAATTTGAAATTATGCTTCCTGTCTTCAGTAGGTCGATGCTCTCTGAATATACTTAAGAAGAAAAATATTTACGATTCAAATGGAAAATGAAATAGAATAATGCTGTGTTCCAAATTGCAACAATACTGTGTCGCGGTCTGGAGGGTATAGAGAGCCAGATAACTACGGGCTCTAAGGTATTACATCTTTCTCAGGGGTAACAACGTATTGGTAGCCTTCCTTGCTTGAAGTTAGCTGTAGGTGGTTTATGGACTGCTATAAACACTAACCATCAAGTAATCTAAAATTTTGTGTTGAATAAAACTATATAAACAGATTTTATCACGTAATAAACTCATTTTAACTTATTTTTTTCCCGACGTTTCGGGTGTTTTACAGCACTCATGGTCACTGGGGAGACTGAGATGTTGTTAATTTTTGGTCCGATCTACGCAAACATTTAATAAAACTATACATACGGATTTTATCGCTTTTAATAAACTTATTTTAACTTATTTTTAATTCCCGACGTTTTTTATTCAATGTGTAGTGTTCGCGTAAATTTAAAAGTTTGTCTATCACTTATATTATAATAATAATAATTATTATTATTATTTATTTCAGACCCACATATAGTCCATAATATGTTAGTAAATTAGCTTAACCTATGTTAGTCTTAAATCATTACACGTACAATTTTCATAACAATTAGTTTTTTATTTTTGGCAACCCATGACACCAGGCACATGCAAGTGCATACGCATCCAATGCCCTAGGATGGGACAATCAAATCTATTAGATATTGCCTTCAGAATGCTATTAGAGCTTCCACGAACCCTGCGCATGAGGGATGCTATTCTTTTTCGAATTATGGCATGAAAACCGTCCGTACCGTACGCTGTAAACATCCCTGAAGCGCTACAATACCGCGGAAACCCCATTAGCATCCTGAAGGCATTATTATATTGTATCCGAAGGGCATTGTAGGCTCTCTGCGTGTACTTAACCCATAGACTGCACGTGTAAAATGATTGGCAAAAGGCTTTGAAAAGTGTTACCTTAACTTCTTCTGTACAGCGTGCAAAGCTACGGGACAGCATGTTACAGCGAACCGCCAATGCCCTTCTTTCTCTTTCTATGTCCGCATCATCAGTCAGATCCTCAGTTAAAACGTGACCAAGATATTTAAATTGATACACTCTATTTAACTGTACGTTCCTTAATTTAACAGGTGGAATCGTTTCAATTTTTGATCCAGCTCGAAATAACAACAATTCACTTTTTTTTACATTATAAATGAGACAGTGAGTCTCAGCATAAGTATCACAAATATTAAGTAATGTCCTCAGTGCGTTAATCGATGGGCTCAAATTATACAAATAAAAACATTTTACCGGTATTTACAGCCCTTGTTCGGGTCACACTTCAAAATACTTATATCCAGTAGTCTATCAAACGCTAATAAGGCAATGCAAAGCATTTCTTTCCATATATAAAATCATTTGCTGTCCGTTAAATTTCGTTAAAGCCCGAAAACGGCTCGATATTGATGAAATTTGTGTGCGTTTGAGTTCCCTGGATGGTTTAGCTTCACTAGTAGACCCGGTAGGTGGCGCTGTTGTCAAGATCCAGATATCACCCGCGTGGCGCCGGGGTGGATCCCTATGAGCAACGCCATCTTACGCCATACCGGGGCCCTTGGGCACACAAGAATTTGGGGCCCTGTTGGAAAGTAAATACAAGTGTATGACAAAAACATTTTTCTGCTATGATCTTATATTAATTACAGTTAATTGGTAAAAATCAAATAATATGTCATTAATGAGGACATCCACGACTTTTTCCCTAACCAAGGCGGCGCCACTTTACAATAAGCTTCATAGAGGGAACGATAATTTATTATTTTAATGTTTCTTTCCTACACTTTCTTTCAATAAAGGAAAATATTCTATAACAACATCAATAGGTACGTGTATTCTTTTTATTCCTTACTTCAAAGTTTAGGCTTTACTTATCTAAAAATAAGGATCGTAACAGTTATTTGTTATAAAATCTAATATTTGTGGTTGAAAATTAACATATTAAATAAATCATTTGCGGTTAAATCTTTTGAAGTGTTATTTTTATTAAACAGTACGAAATGATATTTTTATCTCTTAGATTATAAATACATTCAAATTCAAATTCAAATAGCCTTTATTTCTGATAATATATTACAATTTGGAGAATTATTATTATTGCAACATTTTAAAATTTACTGTACCTACTAAATTATATTTTATAATAACAATTCAATTTAATCTTCGACATCGGTAACGTTATTATCAGCTTGCCATTTTGCATAGGCCTCCCCTAGGGTTTTCCATATTTCCTTGTTTGCAGCTTCTCTTTGGCATGTTGTTGTGGCTGTTTGCTTGATATCATTCTCCCATCTTAATTTCTGGCGCCCTTTCCGTCTTTTTCCATCTCTGGGATACCATACTGTAAAATTTTTTGTCAATTTTTCCTTTCCGTTTCTTATCATATGGCCTGCCCACTTCCACTTAAGTTTTTTCACTGTGTGTGCGACATCTGTAACTCTTGTCTTACTTCTTATATTTGTTAGTTTGATTTTGTTCCGTAGCTTGATGTTTAGAATGCTTCTTTCCATTCTGTTTTGACACACTGTTAGTATTATAAATAACATAGATTACCGAAAATTAAAAAAAAAAACAGGCTATAAGTAAGGCGACTGTACAGCCCACAAAGTGTACTAACTACATATTTTCTACCTACGAAATCTGTCAATGCCACTTTTTCCGGCAATGTGTGGCTAGTCACAGATCCGGGTTGCCAGAAAGTTACTAACAACGCCGTCATTTACTTTATAAATTATTTGTCGGGTTATATTTTCCTAAAATAGAAAAAAAATTGTATAGCATAAGCGAATAAGGCCGATGCCTTTCGTCACGGGGGCCCCCGTGATGATACGCACGGGCACCTGGGCACGGGCCTCATGTGCCCTTATGGTAAAGACGGTACTGCCTATGAGGCAATCTATGGACAAGGACTATGTGGTGGACCTTAATAAATTGTAGCGGTAACAGATGCAAAGATCTTTAAAGAATAAGAAGGCATTTTATTTAATGCAATAATAGTTTTATGTCGTCATAAATTTATTACTTTATACGGGTTCATAAAAAAGATGAGTCCCCAGCCTATTACGTGACCTTTGCAAATCCCAGATTATATGGTTAAGTCAAATTAAAATAACATTTCACTTTATCGAATTTCATTGGTATATAGGATTTAACGGACGTTTGCAATAAAGAGATGTTTATGTATTAATAAATAATATGCAGTTAGTTCAATCGTGCCGCACTACATGGAGCAATATAATTTAAAGGTTACGACGTTTTTTGTTTTAATTAAAACGAACGAAATTCAAGAGTGGGATTTTAGTCAATTTAACGAAGACAGTGCTGAAATTATTATCATGGACTTATTGGGTCCGTTTATGTTTCTTTTTTTGGACGAATTAAATGGAACATCAAGAGGACTAGAGAGACCATCAGATAAGAGCATACATCATATTGACAAGGGTTCTCTGCATGGTTAATGTTTTCCAGATCGAAATTTGGCCACGGCGGCCCGCCTCAACGGAGACTAGCCATCGACGGAGAACAGGATTATAGTGCCCAAGTGTGTGCGTAAGCACATGTGCACTCTCTATTCACTAATTCCCATAGTCCGATGGGACTGTAAACCGACACGACCGGAGAGAGATTATGCGCACGAACAACGGCTTTACGTGCTTTCCAAGACACGGTGGTGAGACACCGCCAACTTCCAGACTCCAGGCTACTACTAAGTATTTCTTGACGAAAAACTCAAAAAACTGATTTTTTACTGGCCCGACCCGGGATTCGAACCCGGGATCCCATGATCAGCAGTCCCACTACTTCAATTACTAGACCAACGAGGCGGTTAATTGCATGGTTAATGATAATTTAGTTAGTCACCATCTGGATGGCGTGTGGGGTGGCTGGCGGCTCGAAAGTGTTCACCACCCCATTTGGTCCCTTGAGTATCGTAAGAGATGACTATGAGAAATTCTAGAAAATTCTCATGGCGGTATCTTTTTTAACGCCAAGCGTAAAATAGTCAGACGGGCACGAGGAGCAGCGTCAAAGGTGAGTGTGGCCGGATACTGCAGTTGCCAATCCACTTGCTAAGCGTAGCAATAAAGGCTAACTAACGGGAGACCGATCTTCAGCGGTGAGCTTTCACCAGCTAATGAATCGGAAAGTATTGGCGTTTCACCACAGTGCAATATTTCAAATGTATCTGCCTCGCGCGACTACATTGTGGAATCTGCTATCACCAGCGAGGTTTCTGGATATGAGTTAAGATCCTTTAGGAAAAGTGCTACTTCTATAAATTCCTAAAAAAGATACCTGCGATTCCTTGCTGTTTATAGACGACAGTGGTAACTTTTCATCAAGTGATGGTGGATGCCTTTCGTTCCCTTTTCTATTGAAAAATAAAAATACAAATATAATAATAAAATTCATTAGGCGTTTAAGTCAAACATTTATATCATTAACCCTATATAATATACACACTTGCGAAAACTGTTCGAAGTATTTCCAAGATCGGCCACAGACCTATAATAATATTTTATCGAGGTCGGACAGTGTACGTTTTAAATTGTGGATTTATATCGCCGCTTCTTCGATCTCACAACATCAGTGTAACTAGAAAAGACCTTGTTAGCTCTCGTGGCCGCGCATAATTCAAAAGCAGGCTGTAATGGTGGCGGTGTTGGGTCTATACAGCAAGGAGAAGGGGTGAGGAGGGGGTGTAGGGGAGGAAGATCGGCGCGTGCTCCCATGCCGACACCTTGCTTTGGATTGTACCAACACTGTACAACCTGTTACATGTTATTTGATGAGCAATCCCTGGCATTCCAACCAATGGCAGCGGTTCCCACGATCTCTGATACGTTTCAGCGATCGGGTTATCGTGAAATTGACAGACGCATGTCTCGCCATTTTAAGATACAATTTTTTTGTCAATTAACAGACTTGAGGCCGGAGCTTTAATTTACTTTGCAAATAATTATAGTTTATTTTAAACTGTGAATACTTTGACAACATGTTTCATTACAACATTTTGATTAATATATTCATTAAATTAATCGATAATTAAAATTAATTAAACGTTTATGTCTGAAAAAAAAATCGCAAAAAGTTTTCATTATTCTAGTATTGTAGTATTTACCCGTATATTCGCTAGATAGCATTTATTTTTATTCTATGCCCATCTGTGGCATTTTGATCAGCTGTATTAATGATTGTTAAAATCTTCAAAGCTGAATCCTTAATAACTAACTGCAGGTAATGCCTCCACGGCTTTGACGCAAATCATCTCAGCGAATTGTTCGATATTGTGTTTAGGCATTAAAAGTATTCCTTTCCTTGTTTATTTCAGACTACATAGATAAAATCTTAAAGGACTTATCTATTAAATACCAACTAGGCAAACGCTGACTCTCTAAGTATACAGAAACACATTAAATAAGGATTTAAATACGATACATGTGCCAAGGTACCTTGTTACCCCGCATCCCTTATTTTATAAGCGGTGACACACGGTTTTCAACTGCGGACAACATTGCGAGTTATTGGATGCTGTTGGAATTCTTTTACCTTGTATCGCGTTCATAGTAGTTTTATAAGAAAATATAAACTGTTAATTCACGAATATACGTGAGCAGTGTATTTTATGACTGCATCAATGTTTATGCAAGGTTCTCTTTATATAGGAGAGGGGGCAAATGAGCATACTGCTCACCTGATGGTAAGTGGTTACTGCGTCCCATGAACACCAGGGAAATCGCAGATGCGTTGTCAGCCTTTTAATAAGGAGTAAGCTTTTTTCTTGAAGGTCTCTAAATGACGGTCCGGATAAATCTCCGGTGGTAGTCGATTCCATAAGGAAGTTGTGCGTGGAAGAAAACTTCTTTGGGGGATCATAAATTACGTTAGATGTTTAAGGGGGGGGGGGGAGTCGAGTCAAATCTCATCTAATCTTACGTTGGAGAGAGGGGGGGTCTCGGCAAATATCACGCAATTTTTTTCTGATTGAGACAAAAAAAATTATACTATTTTGGTCCATTTAATCCAGATTGTACATGCTTAAGATTAAATCTTAAGCATGTTATATAAGTTGAAGTAGCAGATGATTTTACTGAAAATCATATGGACATGTTGGTTCCAATAGTCTCTCTTGAGACTGCGCATGATTCTCCATGGACTGAATTAGAGTAGATATTGTTTTTTTTAATCACAGTGGTCACGATTTAAGTATTCTATTGTTAAATTTTTATTACACTTATAACTCTCAGCAATATTTATTTCTAGTCTTAACTAGTCTAAAAAAAGCACGAAGCAAATTTTCTTTTTCTTTTTTTTATAATAACAATTCAACGCGATTACCCACATTTTAAAAAATCTCACGTGAGATTGGGGGATGGGCGAGAAGGTTAAATAAAATCTCATGACATCTCCCCCCCGGGGGGAGAGGCGACAGAAATTTTAAAAAAACACCTTACGTAATTTATGGACGCTCCCTTTTAAATCGCACAGTGGTGAACCGCCATTCATCCAGATGGTATGGATGTTATCGCGAGTTTTGTCGATCATCAATTCACCTGCCAAGAGTGACTATTAAAGTAAACTATCCCTACAACAGGATAGGCCTATGCATCCAGCAATGGACTTTACGGGCTGATATTGAAGAAGCAGAAGATATGATACATTTTGTTATTTTTCATTTAGTAGTGCATTCGTGGTGTACGTGTGTATCGTACCAACACTCTCGGCAGATCTTCAGCAGATCCAGAAACATTCAGATCCCATCGGATATTGCGATATAGTTACAATAGTTGTCGTTTAGAGGACAAAACCTTGTTATTTGGACGCCCACGGCTACATTTTACATTGCCATGACTGTGTGGATGGGTCTCACAGAGCTATTAAGTTGTAGACAGGCGTAGAAAACATGTTCTGTTTTAAGTTATTGCCATAAATAGCTATTGTTGTACTCTAGAGTAACCGGATTTTGAGAATAATATTTGGTATGGCGTTTACATTTTTTTATAAACACTCAATTAATATAATATATAAATAAAAAATAACATTTCTTAAAGGATAAAAATTTTATTCTGTTTAAAGTAGAAAAAAGCGCATCGATACTTACAAATAAGTAATTGAAAGTTGAAAATGAAAACGCACGTATCATTAGAGAGGCGTAAATTGCATCTGAAGTAACTTACACGTTTCTAGTCCTAACAAACCTCACTTGACCATATCGAGGAAGCTATAAAACATCGGCCGAGTGTCTGACATTTGAATCAGTGTCGTTTCAGCATGCAATAGTAAATTCCACTTGTCTTGATATGTTGTGGCGTGTGTTATTCCCATTATGTAATTTAAAGTGAAATATCGAGCATGTTGTGAATCGGGCTACGATAAGAGCTATTTACAAGTTATAATTAAGTCCTAATTAAGTTGACGTTGTACGGTATTTTTATTTTGTTTGCCTCGATCAATATATTAAATTATGTGTAACTCGGATTAATTTTCAAAATATGAATAATTGTTTAGC